CAGCCCCCCCCCCCCCGCTCCCTCAACAGCGTATCATCAAACTATCACCAACCTATATTCCCTTAATGATATTATTTAAATATACTTGTTTTAATTTTATTAAGAAAGCCATTTTTTATATTGAGAATCCCCAACAACACACACAAAGGCAAGATTCTGCCAATAGCCCCGGCAGGCCTCCAACTTGCCCAACAGCTAAGAGTGACTTGGAATTTCTAATCCTCTTGCCACCTTGTCCTGACTGCTGGAGTTAAAGGCCCAGTTTATGTGGTGTCTCAGTACAGATGTTTTTGTTTTTGAAGACAGTGTCTAAGAAACCCAGGCTAGCCTTGAACCCACAGAAATCCACTTGCCTCTACCTCCTGAGCATTGGAATTAAAAAGGTGTGCCCCACCTACCTAGCATGAATCACTATTTCTGATATATGAGTCCCAGTAATATTTGATGCTGATAGAACCAAACTCAACAACCACTGAATTCAGATAGATGGGACCATCTTTTTAAAGAAAATTTTGTTTTGAATTCTTAGGTGGAGAATTCTTTACTCTAACAGTGAGCTAACTTTTCAATGTACCAGTTGTCAACAATTTAAATGTCTAAGATGTTAAGTCACAGTTACTATCTCTACTGCACAGAACAGGGGTACAGATTAGGAATCAAGGGAAGAAAGAAGGCAGGAGGGTATAGATGTATTTTAAAAATGAATATCAAAGAGAAGCAGAAGCAGGTCCCAGGTTCTACATGAGGACTAAAATGTGCCTGACTTTAGCAACCACTGCACTTGTCAAAGATGTCATTCCAAAGGAGGAAGGAATCAGCCTGTTCTGGGAGAGGTGTAAAAGTTCACCTTGACTGTCAACATGAAGGGATAGAGAGTAACCATTCACTCAGCCTGTGAACATGTCTTTTTCTAAATGAGATTCTGAGGCAAGAAGATCCATCCTAAAAATGGTGGCCCCAGTCCATGGGCTGGTGTTCTAGACTGAACCAAGAATGTTGAGCAAGAAAGTCTCTGCATCTTTAATGTGAGGCACCCTGCAGCTCCCTGTTCCCCCTGCCACGATGGAGCATGACCCCAAACTGTGAGCTAAAAATCTGCCTCCCTGCCAGACTGGTCGGGTGCTTTGCTGTAGCAACAAGAGAATCAGAATTTCATCTTAGATCAAGCACAGCGTGATCTAAAAGTCTCTAATTCTTCAAACTCCCAGACTTTCTCTACAAGTCTTCTCTTTAACAAAATATGAGGCTTCTCATTTCATCTTTATCCCCTCCCCCCAAAAAAGCAAAGTGAATAAACTCCAGGGACAACAAACTCACTGAATTTTATCCACCTTACATAAATGTAAGTGCTGCAGAAAAATAATGCAGACTATAGAAGCAATTTGCCAGTAAAGGGTAACATTTATTTTTGTTATACATTTTGAGGTAAATGAAAACATAAGCCTGGGAAAGCAGGAAATTTTCTTTCAGATAGTAATAAAGTTTACAAAATAACCGCTACAGAATATCTCATTAATGCTTTACAAGCTTAAATCAAATTATGCTCAGATATGCTTAAATATGTTTTTCTCAGTGAGGCTAACTGAAAGACAACTATCCCTTATTTATACATGGTGTATTAAATTATTCTTTCACACTTGACAGGTTATATTTTGATGGTTATGATACTCTTGAAAAAGTTCATTACACAGCCCTAGTTCTCAATCAGGTAATACATACACAATATTCCTTAATTATAAAATAATGTCAACAATGACACAAAAATTCTGAATCATGGGTTTTTTTTGTTTGTTTGCAACTAAAAGGTGTAGTATAAAACAAGCAAAATAAACAGGAAGCAGGCAGGGGAGATGACTCAGTAGGTTAAGCACCTGCCATGGAAATCTACGGACCTGAGCTCTATCCACAAAACGCAATAAAAAGCAAGGCTGATCCCTGCACTGGGGAATGGACAGAGACAGGAGGGTCCCTACTGTGATGAGCTCCAGGCCACCAAGATTCTAAATCAAAAGATAAGATGCAAGGCACTAGAGGAATAAGGTTGAACTCTGCATCAACACAAGAAAAGCAAGAACTGTATATATGACAAAAGCTTTCTGCTCACTGACACTGGTGACAGGCTAAGGACACAGTCCAGTCACAAAAAAAAAAAAAAAAAAGCCTTAGGACTTGGGTATGAGCCCCAGAACTATTTTAAGAGGGGAAGTGTGCACATGTGTGCACTTCCAGTGCCTAGACAGGTAGATCTCTGGTGCCCCTGCCAAGCTAGTCTCCTTGTCTCCAGGCTAGTGAGAACTGGCAGAAACAAGAGTAAGGAATCAGAGTAATATTCTCTGCTAAATTGTTTTTGTTTTCAAAACAGGGTTTTTATTGGTAACAGCCCTAGCTGTCCTGGAACTCATTCTTGTATACCATTGCTCACCTTGAATTTATAGAGACAGGGTCTCTCTCTCTCTTTTTTTTTAATGTTTATTTATTTATTATGTATACAATATTCTGTCTGTGTGTGTGTCCGCAGGCCAGAAGAGGGCACCAGACCTCATTACAGATGGTTGTGAGCCACCATGTGGTTGCCAGGAATTGAACTCAGGACCTTTGGAAGAGCAGGCAATGCTCTTAACCACTGAGCCATCTCTCTGGCCCCCAGGGTCTCTTTATGTAGCCTTGGCTGTCCCAGACTCATCTTCAACCTGTAGAAATCAACATCCATCAGCCTCAGGAGTGCTGGAGTTGAAGGTGCTTTGCTATCAAGCCTGGCTTTAAATTTCTTAAATATTAGCCACCTACTAATACTGAACTTCTGTGTACAAATAATTCTGTCATTAACATGGTAGTCAATATGCCATTCACTTCAGAGACAATTACACCTCCTAAAACAGTTATGTGTTAAATACTTACAAAATGTATTTAGAGACATGCATGTAGATATTTAAAGGTAGTATAATATAGAAAACATGACACAGCAAGAATCTGAGGAGTCCCTTATCTAATAAAGTGTGCACCTTGGTGAATTTTCTAAAGCTTATTTCCTTACCTAGAACAAGATGCCCAGCTTATTCTTAGAGTTAAAAACATAGAGAATCCAGCACAAATTCTAAAAGGAATACCAGAGTGAAATATCCTGGATTACCTACAGGTACTGACAGAACTAACACATGTCAAACAATGTATTCCTTTACCAGCTCCAGGTGCCAACCTGTCACTTCTAAAGAAAAAGAAAAAAATAAGTGGCTTCTATTAATACTTGGCCATCAACTATGTTAATACTCCAGTCAGGCTTTTTACACGCACGCACACACGCATGCACCTACCATTCAAAAGCTAATCTGTAAATGTGGGTTATTTTGAAATCAGTAATACTGATTTCCATTATTAAAGCACGCTTCCCCAGGAATATAGAGGCAAAATTCAGAAGCCAGTGATTGGTATGAGCAGATACAAGCAATCTTGTTAATCTAATAATGGTTTTAAAATATGTACACTGGTTTTCACCTTATATTAAAATTTTTAACATCAAAATATTTTTTATCCGTAGGTACCAAGAGACACAGAAATATGTATCACTGGGGGACTGGAGAGATGGCTCAGTGGTTTAGAGCACAGTCTGCTCTTCCAGAGGTCCTGAGTTCAATTCCTAGCAACCACGTGGTGGCTCACAACCGTCTGTAATGAGATCTGGCGCCCTCCTCTGGCGTGTGTGCATACATGGAGGCAGAATGTTGTATACATAATAAATAAATCTTTAAAAAAAAGAAATATGTATCACTATAAAATTCTGGGCACTAAGCAAATAAGTAGCAATGGCTTAAAATACATGTTTCATTTTTTTTCCTTTCCTACACACCTTACGTATTTTAGTATCTCCTATTTTATTGAGACAGGGTTTACCTGTGTAACAGCCCTAGCTGTCCTGGAACTCACTCTGTAGACTAGGCTGCCTTTGAACTCACAGAGATCTGTCTACCTCTGCTGGGCTTTGTCTTCTATATTTTCTTACAGAAACTGAATGACTTGGACAAATGATTAAGACAAAAAAGATTTTTTTCCAAACAGAATATAAGTGGTCAAATAATGAGCAGAGGTAGCTCAAGAGAAGACATTTTTCAGAAAAGCTGTCTGAAAGCTGCATCGAAGAAGCCCTCTAAGAAGAGCGTTTATTCCCACACACAACAGAAAGAAAGAGGCTACTGAGATGTCTGTTTAAGTCTTCCGAGAAACAAGTTAGAATGTGTGATTCTCAGCTCTGTGTAAGGTAAGGGTAAACATATAAGAACCTGGAAGAAAGCTTTGAAGTGAGCATCCTCTTGAACGGTAGTGTTCTGATCACTTGGGAGAAGAGGGACCAGGCTCTGAAGTCTCACCCTTTCACAAATCACCTTGTTAGGATGGCCAGGCAGAGGTGCTGAATTGGCCCCGGGAGAGATCTGGGGAAAAGAGGGAAAAGAAAAGGATAGTTCATGGCTAACCATACCAATATGGAGAATCAAGCCTATGAAGGACAGTCTGAGTTTTGTGGTATCTAATAATTCTATCAGCAGAGAGATTAAGGAAAAAAGTAACTTTAAGCATCAAAATATACAGCAGGCAGAGACTGCCTCTAGTAATGGAGTTTCCCACACAAAAAGTCTTGGGATAAAAACATTACAGCTCAGGAATCTAAGTCCCTGATCCTCAAATTTCTACTGATAATCCCTTTCGCTGGTATTAACTCTAAAACCCTAATGGTCAGGTTTCATGGTAAGAAGACCGGAGGTAAAAATCACCTAAGTATAGTGATGAATGTCTGCCTAGACTGTATTTTTCTTCTCAATGTATTTTTACAACTTTTAGTTGACCTTGTAAGTGACCATGTTGAGAAAGATTTGACAAGATTTATGGCTGTAAGACTGTACAACAGATAAATAGTAATCTTCTGTTTAACTGGGGCTAGCATCTCCACTCTATTCAACAAACTAGCTCTGTTCATTCAGTACTAAGAAGGCTGAGGCAAGAATATTCCAAATTCTAAGCTAGCCTGACCTAGAAATCAAGATCCTATTCAAGATAAGGAAGGAAGGAAGGAAGGAAGGAAGGAAGGAAGGAAGGAAGGAAGGAAGGAAGGAAGGAAGGAAGGAAGGAAGGAAGGA